GGCTTTCACCTGGTATGGCATGTTGATCTGGCAGCCGGGGATGTCGCGCGTGATGGCCGTGGTGTGGAGCAGGGTGGCCACCAGTGTGCTCAGGATGACCCCCGCATTGACGATGCAGCAGCTCTTCACCTGCGCAGGTCACCTCGCGTCAGCCACCGGCAGCCCTGTTCCTGCTGCTCCCACTGAAAGCACGGTGCCCACCCTGCAGAGACCCCCGCCAGGGGCCACGGAGCCGAGGGAGGGACTGCATGGGGCTTTGGGTGTGAGCTGTCCGGGCAGCGGCACCGCCAAGCTTCCGTTTTATTCCAAGTGTTCCAAATTATTCAATTTATCCTCCTGGAGAAGCCACCCAGCGCAGCCACCCCCCGGTGACACCTTTGCTCCCCATCGCCCAAGACTCGCCCTGCCCAGCCCCAAAGCAGCTTGTGGAGGCCCTGAAACATGAGGGAAGTCGCAGAAGTGACGGGGGAACGCTGTGTCCCTCTCAGCCTGGCCTCGGGGGACCCTCTTACCAGTGAGATGTTATCTCTTTTGTCACTTTCCACCAGCAGCGAGCCTGAGACCAGGAGCTGCTCCGAAAACAGAGGAAGGAGGGTGTCAGCAGCCAGGCACCGCTCCCCACCTCCCACCCCGCGCATCCCAGCATCCCTCCAGCTGCGAACTGGTGCTGGGGGCTGCACGCACACCCCCTCCATCCGCAGAGGGGACAGATGGAAAATGTGGGTGTAAGAGGAGGGGATCTGGCCCCTCATCGGGGGGCGAGGAGGCGGGGGCCAGGCTCATCCCTGCTTACCAGGAGCCCAAGCCAGAAGAGGATCCCGCTGGCCACGGGGAGGGAAGGGGTCTCGTACTCTGACACCGTCAGGATGATCCCGAAGCAGATGTGGATGATCCCGGTGAAGATGTGGATGGTCTGGGGAAAGATGGGGGAGAGGGATCCCCTCCCAGGTCACTCTTGGCCCAGAGGATGGGTGTCGCCGGTGCTCTTAGCCGTGTCCCACCCCATCCCACTGTCACACAATGTCCCTACGGTGCCGAGGAGGGACTCGGGACAGCTGGATGTGCTGGCACCAAAGGGAGCTGGTCCGGAATGTCACCTCTGCCCCAGCTCAAGGACCTCGAGCAGGACAGTCCCTGGGGATATGCAGTCCCTGCTTTGTCCCCAGGGTGCCCCGTCCCCCCGAAACTCCGCGTCTCACCCCCAGCGCCTTGGGCTGAGCCCTCCTGAAGCCTTGGACTTGAAACGAGGATGTGGTGGGTGCAGGCGGCCTGGAGCCAGAGGCCAGCTGGGCAGCTCGGGGATCTGTGGCCGGGATGACCTCCGTGATGATCCTCACCCCCCCGGAGTCAGTCACCGCGGTGGCTGCCATCGCCTGCGGGCAGAGCGGAGACACTGAGGGACCAGGCGAGCTCCCACCCTGCTGGGGACCGGCACATGGGCCATGTCCCCATGAGCAGTGACACAAGAAGCACCGATGTCCTCTTACAAGGATGTCCCACACCCTGTCCTGTACCCGACACCTTGCCCCCCACCCAGGTACCCCCTTCAGCCTGGGCTTGCCCTCCTCCTCCCCACGGCCGCTGTCAGTGACCCCTTCACAGTCGGGATCTCCCCGGGGAGGTGGTGGTCGGATCCTGCCGCCCTTTGCTCCCTGCAGGAAGTTTGTTCATGGAAATCTCATGGAAATCTTGCTCAACAAAGCAGCTTTGCCAACGGAGGGC